TCCATTTATGTTCAGGGGGGTGTAGGTGTGTTGTGTGTTTGTTCCTTCTGAAGTCCACAATCATCTCCTTCGTCTTCTTCATATTGATGTGAAGGTTATTCTCTTTGCACCAGCTCTCCAGGTGTTCCACCTCTTGCCTGTAGCTGGACTCATCATTGTTTGTGATGCATCCCAGCACCACTGTATCATCTGCAAACTTTACAATGTGACAGCCTGGATGGGTAGTTGCACAATCATACATGAGCAGAGTGAAAAGGAGAGGGCTCAACACACATCCCTGAGGAGAGCCAGTGCTGAGGGTTATGGTGGAGGAGGGTGGAGTTTGCATGTTCTCTCCGTGCATGCATGGGTTTTCTCCGGGTACTCCAGTTTCCTCCCCCGGACCAAAAACATGCACGTTAGACTGATTGATAACTCTAAATTGTCCCTAGGTGTGAGTGAGAAAGTGAATGTTTGTTTGTCTCTATGTGTCCCTGTGATGGACTGGAGACCCATCCAGGGTGTACCCCGCCCCTTGCACAGCGATTGCTGGACATGGGCACCAGCGACCCCCATGACCCAAAATGGAAGAAGCAGGTAAAAGATAATGGATGGATGGAAAGTCTTAAGGCCAGTCTTAAACTGGACATTGTGTCAGCCTCATGGACAGAAACTGGAAGTTGGTTCCACAAGAGAGGAGTCTGATAACTGAAAGATCTTCCTCCCATTCTGCTTTTGGAAACTCTAGGAACAACAAGTAAGCCTCAGTCTGAGAGCAAAGTGCTCCGTTAGGAAAATATGGAACAATAACATCTCAAATATAAGATAGAGCTAGGTTGTTGAGAGCTTTGTAGGTTAGAAGTAAGATTTTGAATTCTATTCTGGATTGGACAGGGAGCCAATGGAGAGAAGCTAAAACTGGAGAAATATGATCTTTCCTACTAACTCCAGTTAAGACTCTAGCAGCAGCATTCTGGATCAAATGAATATGTTTTAAAGAAGTATTTGGACACCCAGATAATAAACCATTGTAATAGTCCAGTCTAGACGTGACAAATGCATGGACCAGTTTTTCTGTATCATTTTTAGACATGATGTTTCTAATTTTAGTGATATTACGCAGGTGGAGGAAGACGGTTCTAGTAACGTTTTTAATGAGGGGGAAAAAAAGACACGTCCTGATCAAAAATAACACCAAGATTTTAACCTTAGAGCTGGAGGACCGATTAATGCCATCTAAGTAAGGCGAAAGACTGAAAAAATATTTCCTAAGATGCTCCGGTTCAAAAACCAAAACATCTGTATTTTCTTAGTTTAAAAGCAAAAAAAATGTAGGGTCATCCAGGTTTTTATGTCTTTAAGACATGCTTGTAGTCTAAGTAGCTGATTGGACTCATTGGGTTTCATGGACAAATATAAATGTATCATCAGCATAATTTTTTTTATTTGTTCCATGCTGTTTAATAACTTTATCTAATGGAAGCATAAGTAAAGAGTATTGGTCTAAGCACTGAACCTTGAGGAACTCCATGGCTAACTTTGGTGTATGAAGAAGATTCATTATTTACATTTACAAACAGAAATCTATCAAATAAATATGATTTACCATTTTAGAGCCATTCCTGTAATCCCAATATCACAAGCCTTAGAAGAATATTGTGATCAACTGTATCAAATGCAGCACTGAGTTCTAACAGGACCAGACCATGTTACAGGACCAGAAGACCATGTTAGACTTCCTGCTTTTTAGAACTATCCTCAGGTGGGGATAGTTGGGGTGGGGATAGATAGATTTGCATTGTTTGTTGAAAAATATACAATTTTCTGAGCATTCATGCTGTATGTGAACAAATAAGTGACCAACTGATCATTAAATTTAAAATACATTGGGATATTTTGCCACTGTAATAATAAATATATTTTTAAACAGTACACATACAACTGATACTATCCATCCATCCATTTTCTTTACCTGCTTATTCCATTTTGGGTCATGGGGGTTGCTGGTGCCCATGTCCAGCAATCACTGTGTGAGGGGCGGGGTACACCCTGGACGGGTCGCAAGTCCATTGCAGGGCCACATAGAGACAAACAAGACAAACAACCATTCACTCTCTCACTCACACCTAAGGACAATTTAGAGTTACCAATCAGCCTAACATGCATGTTTTTGGACTGTGGGAGGAAACCGGAGTACCCGGAGAAAAACCACGCATGCACTGTGTGGGTGGGTTTGCAGTACACCTCAGTTTGCAAATGTCCTCTTGTCAGAGACTGAGACCTCACAGTCCAAGAAAGCCAACCTGCCATTTTTTACATCTTCTCGTGTGAACTTGATGTATTTGTCCACAGAGTTCATGTGGTCAGTAAAATGTTGGACTTCCTGAGATTTGATTTTAACCCAGGTGTCGTCAACATACCTGAACCAATGACTTGGTGGTGTCCCTGAAAAGGACGTCAAGGCTCTCTTTTCTACCTCCTCCATGTACAGGTTGGCAACAATAGGAGAAACTGGAGACCCCATAGCACACCCATGTTTCTGCCTATAATATTGCTCCCCATATGTGAAGTAGGTTGACTGCAGGCACAGTTTCAAGAGTTGACACTGTTGTTCTGTGGAAAGCGTGGTCCTGCTGCTCAGAGTGGTGTCTGATTTTAATCTTAAACTGACCACCTCTACTGCATCATCAACAGGAATGCACGTAAAGAGTGATGTGACATCAAAAGAGACCATTGTTTCATCAGTCTCCATGATGACATCCCTCACCTTGTCCACAAAGTCCATGGTGTTCTGTATGTGGTGTTCTGAGCTGCCAACTAAAGGGATGAGTACAGACGCCAGATATTTGGAAACATTGTAAGTGACAGAGTTAATCATACTAACAATTGGTCTTAAAGGTACACCTTGTTTGTGGATTTTAGGTAAACCATACAGACTAGGTGTGGCCTCCACTGGGTACAGTCTGTGGTACAGAAAACGGTCAATAGCCTTGTCCTGCTCCAAAATTTTCAGGCAATCTATCAATTTCTTCTTGTAACCACTTCCTGGATCTCTTTTCAGAGGTTCATAAGTGGTTAAGTCACTAAGGAGTGTCATAACTTTCTCATGATAGTCTTTCTGCTTCAAAATCCCTGTGCACCTTCCTTTGTCTGCTGGGAGAATGATGATGTTTTTGTCCTTGCTAAGAGTGGTGAGTGCATCCGTCTCCTCTCTACTGATGTTGGAAGGTGGTGGTTTGGCATTGCTGAGGCAGGCTGAAACTTTGATTCTGAGCTGTTCTGCTTCAGCCTCTTTAATTTTGTTGTTGCGGATGGCTGACTCAGTAGCTGTGATCATCTCCACCAGAGGAATTGTACTTGGTGCAACCGCAAAGTTCAGTCCCCTGGCAAGAATCTCTGTCTCTGGCTGGGTGAGCTTCTGTCAGATAAATTCTTCACCCACTTTTCTGTCTCCCTGGCATGTAATTGACTACTGGCGTGTTGTCCTACACTGAATGTGTTGTTATTGGAAGTGATGGTGTTGATGAGCTATTAGTACGTTAAACTTGTTTTGTTGTCGAGTCTTGGACTTGACATGCTGTGCTAAGCCAGCGGTCACTCTTTCAGGGATGAAGATGTTCACATCCTGGACAGAGAGGAACGATGGTTTGAGAGAGGAGTAAAGGAGGCCATCTTTGTGAAAAGAAATCGTCCATCATTAAACAGGGGTGGAGGCCTCCGGGTTCAACTGTCCCCCTCTTACAATGCTGTGATTGCTAGTATCACTCAGCCCTCTGTGAGTAGTAAACAGCCATCAGTGTGCTAATGATCCATTGTTAGGCTGATGGTCCTTCTTGACCATGTGATCAGCTGGTTTTGGTTGTCAGCAGCAAAACTGGTTGATCCACTCTGAGAAGGTGCTATTTAAGAGACTGAGCTGAATACAGCTCCTCAGACTGAGGAAGTCTCTTGGATGAGAGACGAAACGTTTCTATATTTTTTTGTTGTTTTGTTTTTTTGAATGTCCAGAGGACCAGATTTAATTTTTTTAGATTTTTCTACCTGGATTATTGAGCATGCATCAGGATATTCTCGTATCAGCTTCAATATAAACATTAGTCTGGTTTATGTCCTTTTTGGTTAAAGTGATAAAGAACTACAGGCTGCAGACTCGATCTCCACTAATAATTTATATTCTACTCCTTTTTTATCTGGATGAAAGTTATTTGGTACCTTTACAGTAATTTCTCTAATTTTGAGGATTTTTTATTTTATTTTGTCATGTTTTTTGGTAAATTAGATGAATATCATCTCTCTCTCTCTCTGTGTTTACAGCCAAAATAACTTTGGATCCAGAAACTGCCCACCCGAGGATAATTCTGTCAGCAGACAGAACCGAGGTGTCCATGGCTGACAGTCAACTTTGGGTCCAGGACAACTCTAGCAGGTTTGATGTGTCTCTTGCCATTCTGGGTTCAACAGGATACTCAAGCGGCAGACATTATTGGGAGGTGTCTGTCTCCAAAAAGAGCTGCTACCACATCGGGATGGCCACTGAATCTGCTCCAAGGAAGGGGTTGTTATCGTTCCGTCCAGTGACAGGTTATTGGACCATAATCAGGAACAAACAGGGTGAACTTAGAGCTCTTGATGAGACAACCGTTACTATTCAAGCTGAGACTCACCCTCTTACTCTGGGTGTACTGCTGGACTACAAAAAAGGACAGATCTCATTTTATGATGCCGGTACTAGATCCCACGTGTACACCTTTTCAGGTCAGACATTTACAGAAAGAATCTACCCGTTCATTAATTACTGTGTAGAGAATGTTGAAAATCCAGCCCCATTAGTTTTGGTTCAACCTGGATCAACAGACTGGATCAAGTAAGGCCGTTTGATTTGATCACATCTGTCTCATTTATGAGCATCTCAGTTCAAAACATATCCCGCAAAGTAAATGAGCTTGTTTTATGCTTTTTTATGATTACTGATTCAGAAAAATAAACAAATTTGGCATCACAATGTGTTTACTGTATTACTTTATTTCCAAACGTGTCTTCCAGGTGTTTTAAATACTTGTATGAAAAAAAAGAGCGCTTCGGCCATGATTAAGTTTTTGGAAAACAAAACATTCAGTTTAATAAATGATGCAACGAAAGTTTCTGTATGGAAAAAAAAACAACATCTTAAATGATGTTGGGATGAAATGTTCCACCTGTAGTCCTTCAGTCTCTTCCTGCTGTGCCAGCTACGCTCCTGTAAAAGTGGGCGACGAACTCCGGGTCCTGCTCCTCCAACATGTGCAGAAGATGGTTCCTCTCCTCCTCTCCCCATGACTCGAACCACTGGGTCCACAGGCGGAGCTGGCACTCAAAGATGTTGGGGAGCTTGTCTTTGACCTGTCAGAACCCACAGGGAGGAAACGAGTTCAGACAAACCTGCAGTGATTACCTGAACAGCATGGGCACTGGTGGTACCTGAAGAGAGCTGAGTGAATCCAGGAGGGTGCACACTTTCCCCGGCACGGCTTTCCCCAGCAGGTCGTGCAGGAAGCGCTCCTTCTGAGCAGAGGTCCAGCTCTGGAACCAGCTCAGGACGCACCGCTGCTCCTGCAGGGTCACATAGGAGATGGGTGCTGGTTCTCTGAGGTGACCTGTGCTCGGAGACGCACAGGACAGGTTCTCCAGGCTCAGGGGGGTGGCTGCACCACGATGAGGCACCGATGGGAAGTTCAATGGGCTTGGAGAGAAGAAGCCAGCCCCGCCGACGTTCTGGGTCACCGGTCCTGCAGTCTGACTGGCGGGGCTGTAGGTGTTACCCAGGATGTTTGTGGTTGTAGGTCCTGTGGGCTGCTGCTGGTAGGAGCCCTGACTGAGCTGACTGAACCACGACATCTCTGGAAAGTTAGTTCCAGCCTCCTACAGTTAGCTGCTCCTCTGCTGCCGACACTCCTCTCGCTGTTCACAACAGCTAGCTTACGCCAGACAGCCGCAGGACTCCGACATTAAAGCAAGCCATACATAAAACTACTCTTAACAAATGTATCTGGTTACAAATACCTGTTTCCGTCCAACTGAAACAATGCTGAGCTCATATTTAGAGCGAAGCAGCAGCCATGCTAGGCTAGCTAACGAACATCACACAGGAAGTGCGTCATCTGTAGGCAAGTATTGTTATTGACCGAAAAGTGAACATTTAATTTATATTTTAAGTGCAACTGGAATATAAATATAGTTGTAAGTGTTAAATATATTCAATGTGCTAATTTAAGACTTTAATTGTTTTCATAATTTGAACTCGTCGATAGTGACGTTGGCTGAAGGAAGGTTCTGAAATTAAAGCAAGCCGATATGTCATATATGCATAAACTTTTTTTTCAAAGCAAATTCGTTCAACCTTTATTTATACAGGTTAGTCTGGTTGAATCTCGAGGACTCGTTTACAAGAGAGACCTATTTCAGCCTCCAGAATAAAACAACCCCACTATATATAAAAATCTATATTTTAAATATTAAAAAAACTGCTCAATAACATTAGAACTCTTTAATTTCCATATTAAGACTAGTTGAAAAGCCAGCTAGACATCAGTAATTGAAATACTGATTAGAAACTATGCATTTATAATAAAATACATTGTTGATATCTATAAAAAAAATTATAAACAACTTTTTTATATAAAACGTGAGATAAAAATTATGACTAGTGGTATAATTAAATAAAATTTTCTTTTGAAAATTCACTCACAGACCAGTAAATGTTCGTTCATTCAACCTTTATTTATACAGGCAGTCTCACTGAGCCAAGAGGACTCATTTACATTAGGGACCTGTTCCAGACAGGACATATAAAGTACAGACAACAATAAACAATATTAACAATAAACTAGAGTTAAAATGTTCACGTTCAAGTAGGTTTTATCATCATTTGCATTACATGTGGTACATGAGGTGGAACAAATTTGTGTACACAGGGCCCCCGTTACATCCAACAATAGCAAAAATATAAATTGTAAAAAGAAACAGTAAATAAGGATCTAAGATATACACTAAACTAAGAAATATGCTAAACACTAATAGTGCAAAACAATATGGCCAACAACAGAAGCACGAACACAGGTCTTTGTGGGTAGATTGGTACGAATGAACACAGCATGAAATAAATCAGCAACATAAAATCAGCAGCATGGATAATGCTCCTTAACCTCCTTCCTGAGGGGAGTGGGGCAAAAAGTGTGTGTGCTGGGTGAGTGGGGTCCTTCATGATGCAGGTAGCCCTCTTCCTGCATCTGGAGGTGTAGATGTCTGTGATGGTGGGGAGGCTGACTCCAACATCTGTGCAGCCACAAAACCAGTCACTGAAATCATTTAAAGATTTTTAAGCATTTAAACAGATTTGTCCTAATTCAAATTCAGTTACACGAACCTTAAAGTATAAACCTTTTACTGATTTTTTATTTATTTTTTTTAATGGGGAAAAATATTTTCTTTTTTGGAGGGAGCTGTAAATATACTGTACAACGGATTGCCGTACTCCAGTCGCTCTAGCTGGGAACTGACTAGAGGAACGGAAAATGGCGGACCTCGAAGACGTTACGCTGGACGGGAGACCGCTCCAGTCCCTCCGTGTAGCGGACTTAAAGGCAGCTCTTGAGGAGCGAGGACTGTCGAAAAGCGGGCAGAAGAATGCTCTCGTCAAAAGGCTCAAAGGGGTAAGCTTTGCGGTGAAATGTGGCACCACTGTTGACGAGAGCTAGGACGGTGAGACGGACTGATGCTCTCTCTGGAGAGGGCCGACAACTGAGTATCGTTACTCCCAAGCGTAGTAGTAGTCCTGTCGGTGTTGACATCCCGCTGTAAAATTAGCCTCTGTTCTGTGTCGCAGCTGGGCACTGTTTGTCGTGTCCAGAGCTGTCCAGCTCACAGCTAGCCCTGAAGTCCAGCCAGCTCCTCGGCGCTGCTGGTTTTCGTGTTGTGTTAGCCTGTTAGCTTCCCTGCTAACGCCGTGAGTGGAGCTGGCCTCGGCGGCTGTCGGTGTTTTCAGTGTGTTGTCACCAACGAAACGAGCACGGTTCGTGTCTGGGTCACATCTGGGTCTGCAAGGTGCCGCGATGAGTCACGTTAGAGACAATTTGTGTACGTTTTTGACACATTCCGCCACGGGAGCTGTGATTTCCCGTTTTCCCGGTAAACAGTGGTCCTGTGTTGCATGGATGTGCCCGCTGCAAATGCAGTAGTTAAATGAAGCAAAGCCAAATGCTGCTTGCATTAGCCTATTTTGTAGGTATATGTTTATGCTGATGTTATGGTGTCTTCGATGAGTTTCTGTTTTCTTTAGGGCGTAAATGTCACTTGTTCCTGCATGACGGATGACGGGTTTGAGTTGTGATGGCGCATTGTGCACACTTCGACCTCCTGGGTTTGACATTAGAACTGTAATGTAATGTTCATATGATGCAAATGACCTTTACTGAGGATTGCAGACATTTAGTGATGGGATAGAAATGATAACCGAATGAAACATGTTTATTTGTTACAGCAGGTTAGCCCTTCAGTCCCAGCCTGTGTTTTTTATTGCAGAATGAAAACTGCCTGCTTGTTAGGGCAGGATGGATATGTCTCACTTTAATCTAATTTGCTTGCATGACCAGGGAGCTTGTTTGTTGCGTATTGTTCTGCTCTCCTGGGCTGCTCTGTAACTTTTCTGAATGTTTGTATTATTTTACATCTGTGGTTAAAACAGGCTAAAACTCAAACTCAGCCCAGTTTGTTAAACAATCTAGCACTTTAACCAGATTTTACCTTTGTAAGAATACCTCCACCCCCACACACGTTCATATTGCACAAATAAAACCTCTTGTGTCAATAACAGGCTCTCATGCTGGAGAACTTGCAGAGGACCTCCACCCCTCATATTGGACTGCAGCCAAACTCTCAGGTAAAAGTCTCAAAAATACTTTAATACTTTTTTACTTAAATTTCAAAGGCTGAGCGTTTCTTCAGTAGCAGGACGCGTATTATTACAATTTCTTTATGTTTTAAACTGCCTGTTTTTAGCTGCCTTGAAGGATTTCACCGAACGTGTTTTGTGATGCTTCCTTTTTATTTAGATTGGTGAGGAGATGAGCCAGAACAGTTTTATCAAACAGTATCTGGCTCAGCAACAGGAGCTCCTGAGGCAGCGTCTGGAGAGAGAGGCTCGGGAAGCGCACGAAACAAACGGTAACAGTGGCGTCCGCTCTCAATTTCAGGCCCACATTAACAATCGGCAGCACAAACTATTTATTTGTTTTTGCCCAATATTGATTTTTCATTTAAATTTAATAATTGCTTAAGAATAGATTTTAGTAACCTTAGGAAACTCAGGGTTCCCAGCAACTCTGGAAATCCAGGAAAATGACTTTCACATTGCCCAGGCAGGGAAAACACAGAAAATATGAGAAAAACTTTAAAAAATCAGGGGAAAACTGAGAATTTGAACGTTGATCTACTGATTAAAAGATTATCTTTCTGTGATTTTATTGTGCACATGTACCGTTGAAACCAGAAGTTTACATACACCATTTAACAAGAAACATATGCATTTTTTTAACACTGTCTGACGTGAAATCAGAATAAACTTTTCCCGGTTTAGGTCAACTAGGATTACCAAATTTTTTTCTATTTGCGAAATGCCAGAATAATAAGAATGAGAGTTTTTTTAAGGTAATTTTTTATTACTTTCTTCAAAGTCAAAAGTTTAAATACACCGCAGACTGATGAAGTCTTTGGATGGAAGACAAAATGTTTCTCCCTTAAAGAAACTGGTCCAGATGAAATGATTTAACCTTTTTTGTTGTTTAAATACACTTTTTATTAGTATTTGGTGCCATTGTTCTTCTACTGTATGACTTGGGTCAGACATTTTGGATTTTCTTCCATGAGCTTCTCCCAATAGTTGGCAGGAACTTTGGCCCATTCCTCCTGACAGAACTGGTGTTCCTGACAGAACTGGTGTAACTGGGCCATGTTTGTAGGCTGCCTTGGTCGCTAGGGCTGGGGACCTTTCTAAAAAAAATCGGTACCGGTGTCCGTTCCTGGACGGTTCTTTTTTCTGTACCAATTTTGTAATTACTATTAATTCTAACAAGAATAAAATTACGTTCCACATTACAGTACAAATTGTGAGTTTTATTTTTTAACTTTGGTATTTCTATTCCAAGCAGTTTTCTTACATTAAAATAAACAAGTAATTTCCAGTTCAAAAGAACAGTTTCAAACCAGTGACACGTCAGGGTCTAATGTTCACTGCTACACACTGAAGACCTTTTCACTGAACAGTTTTTCTTCAGAAACATCAACATGTCTGCTTTCTGTGAACACAAACAAGCTCGCTCCTGGCTGATGGTGTCTCCAGCAGTAGAAAATGTTCACTCTGAGGGTGTAGATGATGATTGTTGCACACACAGATACCTGGTTGTCAGTTTGATAGCACTGACATATTGTCCCTCACATCCCACCAGCAGGTCACTGGATTCACTGAGGTACGGTTGATGGCAGACATCTGTACCTCTGTGTCTCTTCCTGAATCTTCTCTGTGGTTCTCTGGGGTTTAGTGCTCTGATCATCTCCCTTATTGACATGAGAACAAAACATCAACAATAACATAGTTGTGTTATTATTGCTCAAAAACATTATCTAGGCTGAGAGAGAAAAGTTTAACTTGTCAACAAAATCTTTTACAGCTTACCTCCTCCATGCAGCTCCACTGTAGAAAAGACAGCAAACGTTTAACAACAAAGTTTGATTGTCCTGTGGCCCCCACCTCACTTTTCTGTCTGTCCTCACATCAGGGTCAGAACCTCCTGTGAGGAGAACATTAACATGAACAGTGAACATTAGGTGAACTGTTTAAGCAGCTGACTGGATGGATGAGCAGTTTTACAAGCTAAGATTTATGTTACTGTCAATCTTTAGTTAGCTTCTGAGTTTGGCTAGCCACGTAGATAAAATAAATTTACACACTAATATGTTAAAGTTAGCGTTATTTTGCCGCGATGTACGTGTTAACAAATTTAACAAAGTCCATGCTCAATAATCCAGGTATAAAATCCAACATTTTTCAGTCAGGTCAGTCAGGTTAACAAACAAAAACTCACCAGCTGAAACAGACACAGCTCCGTCCTCGGAGTTCTTTGATGAAGACGAGTCCGGCTGTGGAATGTTGATTCAGTCCGTTTCACACACACAGACTGACTAACGCTGAGAGGAGGAGGCTGCTGTCAGTCTCTCTTCTTGCAGAGAAACACGGAGCAACTTTCTGCTGCACACGTGAACCCAGTCTGTGGGCGTCACCAGCACCATAGACTACATTGTCCATAGAATAAGTGTGGCAGCTCTATACAGCTCTGGGTGTAAACACGTAGTCTGTTTGTCATATGTCTGGTGTTTTACCTGCCTGCGTGCTGAAACCACGTGACACCTTTCAGCCAATACCGAAACTTGACACCGAAAAAAGAGTGACGTTTCAATACATACACCGACCGGTGCAGTTCGGTCAGTGCCATAAAATAACCTCGGTTTGGTACTCAGCCCTATTGGTCGCACATGCCTTTTCAGCTTTGCCCATAAATTTTTGATAGGACTGAGATCAGGACTTTGTGATGGCCACTCCAAAACACTGACTTTATCCTTGAGCCACTTTGTACCCAGTTTGGCAGTATGCTTCGGGTCATTGTCCATTTGAAGACCCATCTGTGACCAAGCTTCAACTTCCTGGCTGATGTCTTGAGATGTTGCTTCAGTGTTTCCACATAGTGCTCTTTCCTCATGATGCCATCTATTTTATGAAGTGCACCAGTCCCTCCTGCAGCAAAACAACCCCACAACATAATGCTGCCACCCCCGTGTTTCACAGTTGGGATGGTGTTCTCGGGCTATTTCCTCCAAACGTAACAATGGTCATTATGGCCAAACAGTTCAATTTTAATTTCGTCAGACCACAGGACATGTCTCCAGAAATGAAGGTCTTTGTTCCTGTGTGCATTTGCAATCAATAATCTGGCTTTTTTATGTTTATTTTGAAGTAATGGCTTCTTCCTGGCAGAGTGGCCTTTCAGCCCATGTCGATACAGTTTCACTGTGGATAATGACGCACTCTTACCAGCTTCAACCAGCATCTTCACCTGGTCTTTTGCTTTTGTTCTTGGGTTGATCTGCACATTTCAGACCAAAGCATGTTCATCTCTGGGACACAGAAGCCGTCTGCTTCCTGAGTGGTATGATGGCTGGACATCTTGTTTGTACTTGATTATAATTGTTTGTACAGATGAACGAGGCACCTTCAGGCATCTGGAAATTGCACCCAAGGATGAACCAGACTTGTGCAAGTCCACAACTCTTCCTGATTTGTTGGCTGGTTTATTTCAACTTTCCCAAGATGTTGCACAAGGAAGCAGTGTGCTTCAGGTGTTTCTTAAATTTCATCCACAGGTGTCTCTAATGAACTCGGATGTTATTAATAAACCAATCAGACGCTTCCAAAGACATGACATCAAGCGTCCTAAATTGTTTAAAGGCATAGTGATTTTAGTGTATTTGAACTTTTGACTTTGAAGAAAGTAATAAAAATTGCCTTAAAAATTTTCACTCATTATTCTGGCATTTTACAAATAGAAAAATAAATATGGTGATCCTAATTGACCTAAAATGGGAAAAGTTTATTCTGATTTCACGTCGGTGTGGAAAAAATGCATGTCTTTTTAAATAGTGTATGTAAACTTCTGGTTTCAATTGTATTAGTACTGACATTCTAGTGTCAGTGAGTCCATGGTCCGCTTCTACTGTGTACATACTTACTGACTGGCTATGGTGGATCTTTAGTGTCAATGGTATACAATATAATTAGTTATGAATAATTGCTGTATGCTCATACTGTAATAAACTAAAAATACATTCTGAAATAACTTCTGGAATTTCAGGATTCACTCAGAGAAAAGTCAGTGAATTTTATTTTGATAAAATACTGAGAACAGTTAAAAATTAGATAAACAACATTTATTATAAACAAATAAAAACTAAACTATGGAGCTACAGCCAGCTGGTTGTAACAAGCATCTTTGTTTCCTACAGTGTAATAAATTATGTACAGACATGGCCATTGTTTTTTTTTTTAAGTGACCAGTATTGTCAGATTTAAATTGGTCTTATCTAGTATCAGTTTTGAAGTTCCAGTGTACACTACTGGTGCAAAGGGTTTTGATTTATTTTTTGTCTTTTGTGACCAGATCAACAGGACCACAGAGATGTTAACAACAGTACATCTTGTCCTCCCGCTGCTCAGGTTAGATGGCTCTTTCTTTCCTCTCCCTACCTAATATGTTGTCATCATTTCATTTTTTTTAACCTGGAGATTTCCAGAGGCACCAAAAAATCGTAAACATCTTTGTTGGGTTGGAAAAGCCACTTGTGGCTAATTTTCATTTTTTTAATGATCAGGACGTCGCACCGCCTGTGCAGCACAAGCTACCTGGCCCTTCTGTAGGAGAGGAATTGTTTGGTTCTGTGAATGCTGGACAAGACAATGGGAATCAGGAGGCTGATGTGTCCAGTCCACCTGCTTCAGCCTCTGTGGCCATGCGGATCCCCGGCGGTGAGCAGCGGTCAGAGCGAGGTTCTGCTTCCAGCGAAGTTGCAGGTGACAGTGATGATGAAGACAGTGAGGGAGGTGATGATGATGATGACTGGGGAAACAACGCTCCGCGGAGGAACCTCAGAGAGCCACCCAGAGTTCCCGCAGCAAGGGAGAGGTCTGGTGCACCACGTCAACCCCAGCAACAACACATCCCTTCTCTTTTGTCTCCTCAGCTCCGTCAGCCAACACCACCTCCATCCCCACCTCCAGAGTTATCGTTCCCATTACCTGATACCCCTAAACAGAGCCCACCTAGTCCCCCTGCTGCCGCAGCCAGACACTCGCCCAGCTCCTCCAGCTCTGGTTCCTCCAGCAGCGGCAGTCGCAGTAGCAGTCCAGAGCCTCAAAGGAGTGGACATGCCGAGCGTAAGCCTGGTCCGCTGACCCTTCTGGCTCGCAAAATGGAGTCTGAGGGGGCTTTCTCTGGAGCAGGTTGGCATGGCACTGATGGCGAAGGTCATAGGCAGGATAGCAGCTCACCTTCAGCCATGTTGTTTCCTGGAAGGGGCGCTCATGATGGTCTGGTTTCTGCTGTCACAGTCAACACTGCAAGCCATGTATCATTTCCCAAGATTTCTAGCGCCCACCAGGGTGTCGCACCTCTCCAACTTCCTGTGAGTGTGCTTAAGGCCACGGCAGCAGAGGAAAGAGACAGAGAGAGAGAAGCTGAGATGGAAAGAGAACGAGCACTTGAGCTGGAAAGGCAAGAGAAGCTGAGACAAGTTGAACAAGAACGAGCAGCAGAGGAAGAGCGAGAACGATCTCTCGCACTAGAGCAAGAAGAACGTGAGAGAGCTCTGGAGAGGGAGAGGTTTGAGCTCCAGCAGGTCTTGGAAAAAGAAAAGGCTTTACAACGAGAGCAAGAACTTGCTCTAGAAAGAGAAAGACAGGAGAGGGAAAGGGCTTTGGCTAAAGAGCAGGAAGAGCGTAAGAAGGCCATGGAGCTGGAGAGACAGAGAGCCCTGGAGGAAGAACGGCTGCAGAGAGAAAGAGAAGAGAAGGCAAAGAGGGAAAGAGAAGAAATGGAGAGGGCAATGGAACTAGAAAGAGCCAAAGCTTTGGAGCTAGAACGGCTAGAGAAAGAAAAGGCACTTGAGCAAGAGAGGTTGGAGAGAGAGCAAGCTCTGGAGGCTGAGAGAAGGGAGAAGGAACGAATCGAGAGAGAAAAGGTTTTAGAACAGGAGAGGCTGGAAAAAGAGCGAATTGAGAGAGAAAAGGTTCTGGAACAAGAGAGGCTGGAAAAAGAACGACTTGCGAGAGAAAAGGCTCTAGAACAGGAGAGGCTGGAAAAAGAACGAATCGAAAGAGAAAAGGCTCTTGAACAGGAGAGGCTGGAAAAAGAACGAATCGAGAGAGAAAAGGTTCTAGAACAAGAGAGATTGAAAAAAGAACGGCTTGAAAAAGAAAAAGCTCTAGAACAGGAAAGGCTGGAAAAAGAACGACTTGAGAGAGAAAAGGCTCTAGAACAGGAGAGGCTGGAAAAAGAACGACTTGAGAGAGAAAAGGTTTTGGAACAAGAGAGGCAGGAAAAAGAACGACTTGAGAGAGAAAAGGTTTTGGAACAAGAGAGGCTGGAAAAAGAACGACTTGAGAGAGAAAAGGTTTTGGAACAAGAGAGGCTGAAAAAAGAACGAATCGACAGAGAAAAGGCTCTAGAACAGGAGAGGCTGGAAAAAGAACGAATTGAAAGAGAAAAGGCTCTAGAACAAGAGAGGCTGGAAAA